CCATTTTTTAGTTGGGTTCTTTTTGTTATTGAGTTATAACAATTCTTTCTTAAAGTTTATTTATTTATTGTGGTGGTTGGGTGGGAGGTGGAGGGAGGGGAAGTAACCCTTGACAGGATCCTGCCATGCTGTAATTCTCTCCCCAGCTCTTAGTCAGCCAGGATCATGTGCCCAGCTTGTCCAGGTTAACACAGAATCCAAACCTGGGCTTCCCATGTGGCTTCAGCCTCCTGCAGTGGTGCCCTACTGCCTATGCCACTGTGGCTGGGCCAAGAATTACTGGACTCTTACCAAACATATGATTTGTAAATATTTTCTCCTATTCTGTGGGTGTTTTACTTTCTTGATAATGTTCTTTGATGCACAAAAGTTTCTAGTTTTGATGAAGCCCAATTTATCTGTTTTTGATATCATATCCAAGAGTTCATTGCCAAATCCAAAATGATGAACATTTAACTCTATAGTTATAAGAAACTTACATTTAGGTCTGCTCCTTATTTTTAGATAATTTTTGTGTAAGATAGGGTAAAAGTACATACAAACTTTAATTGAAGAATCATAAGTATTTTACTCTTTGTATACGCTAGGCTAATAAATTTCTTTGCTTATGTAGAAAATCTTGACATTATCAGACTTAATATTTTCAGTGTATCATCAGTGAGTGCCCATGAGAGGTCAGGAACAAGGTCATCGGCACCATCCACAAGACGCACACCTGGACCCATCACGCAATCAGTAGGTATACAGAAGCAAACCCTGAGCAAACACTCTCCGGCCCTGGTTCTGTGCCCTCTCCTGCCTTTTCCAATCCTGCCTCATCATCCACAGCTCAGGTATTTTCTGGGGCCAGCAAATGGCATGGTGGTTAAGGTACTGGACTTTCACATGGCCAACTATGGTTTGCGTTCCATACCTGGTGGCTTGTTTTCTCACTTTCCTTCTCACTCACTCACTCTCTCTGTCTCTCTCTGGTGAGTGCACATGCCCAATAGCAAATTTTAAAAAATACTAATAAATTAATAAATCCTTTTTTAAAAAAATTACAAACCTAAGTATTCTCAACAAAGGCTTGAAAATACAGCTTAAAATTTTTAAATGAGGTGGCATGGTGGTTAAGGTGCTAGACTCTCACGTGGTGAACTGCAGTTCATCTCTCAGACGCGGCAGTTTGAAACTCATGGCAGGAGCATGTGCCCGAGAGGAGAGTGGAAGAGAAGAGATTGTGGGATGGCTTTCTGTCCCTGTCTCTCCAGTGGGTGCTCGTGCCCTAAACCAAACCAAATAAACAAACAAAACTCTAAAAAAATTTTTTCTTATTTTAGAGAGTTTTTTTGGCCTTAGGGTGCATGTGCACACGGGGGAGAGAGAGAGAGAGAGAGAGAGAGAGCAAAAGAGAGAGACAGATACAGTGAGAGGCATTTAAAAACCAGCTCCCAGGAGGGATGGCCATGCCACAATCCCTTCTCCATTCTCCTCCTGAGATCTCGGGCATGCACACACACACACCCGGTGTGATTTTCACATCACTGGGTCTGGCACTTGAACAGTGGTCAGCCATGTGGGAGTCCAGCAATGTAACTGCTATGCCATCTGCTACTACCCACCCCACCGCCCCGCAGACAAATTTTAAAGTGATAGTTTATAGCATGTAACATGCAGGAGTTGGATCAGCAAATTTAGATTTTGTGACAACTCTCAGCCCAACTTTATCCTTGGTGTGATTGAGGACAAGCTGGATGAATATCCCTTAGGAGGGAGGGAGAGAGGGAGGCCAGGATCCCGTACTGGTTTAACTGTATAGTTAAACCACTTGAATTTACTGCAAATATTTGACTTAACTGACGTAGAATAGCCTGGTCTTACCTAATTGTTACTGTGTGGTACCCTTGGCTATCCACCTGACTACTGGCATCCCATGGGAAGCTAGAAACCAGACTCCCCGGCTCCCCGCCAGAGATGCTGGGGGGCTCTGGTGAAGGCCTGGGGATCTTAGGCATCTAAAGCTCTCAGAAGACTGTGCCATTGGCCAGGCTGGAATCAAGCAGGGAATAGTTTCTAAAGAGGTCTGAGAGAAAAGCTACAGGGAGGTCGGGGCTGACTCAGGGAGAGGCTTTTCTCACTTCTCACCCAGAGGCCGCCTGTGACGGAGTGAGTCAGGCCACAGAGAGGGGACTGAACAGAGGCAGGTGCCGCTGTCTGGGATCGAGGGAAAGGAACCCACTCAGTGTGAAGACTGGGGAGGGGCTTCTGACCTTGCCAACTCTGGGATTCTAGGGACAATAAACAGGGCTGAATGAACCACTCTATGAGCTAATGCTGGAGCTGTGTGAGCTTAGACAAGTCACTGACCTCTCTGGGCCTCTACTTCCAGGCAGAAGAATCCGACCCAACGAAAGGGTAGATGAGCTCAGTGGTTTTCTCTTTCTTTTCCTTTTTTCTTTCTTTGCCTCTTTCCCCCATACTATCTTTCAACTCCTGGCAGTAAACCTTTTATCCTGATAATGTGTTACAAGTGTCCATGCGAACAGCTGAAATGAGCTGGCCACTGCTTGAGGCAGGAGTACTGGGTCCAGGCCCTTCCACACCTCGTCCCCTGGCCCTCTCGCAACCACAGAGCCCCCAATCCCCATGAAGACCAGTTTGACACATCTAGGCTCTTCTCGGTAAGATCGTGCAAGGCTGCATCAGGGTAGCGCTAATGTGCTGGCAGGTCTTAAGTGACGAGGAACGGGGCCAGCAGGCAGCATGGTGGTTAAGGCGCTGGACTCCCACATGGCCAACCCTGGTTTGAGGCCCAAACCTGGCAGCTTGAAAATCATGCTAGGCATGTGTGTGTGTGTGTGTGTGTGCCCAGAATCCCCGGAGAATGGAGGAGAAGGGATTGCAGCATGGCCATTCCCTCAGGGGAGTGATTCCTCACTTTCCTTCTAATTGACTCTCTTTGGTGAGTGCACAAATGCTATGGCAAAAATCTAAAAAAAAAAAAAAAAAAAAAAATGAGAAGCAAAAGAATGCTCTTAGAAAAACCTCATAAAAATCCCAGACTTAGATGGCTGGAAGAAACTTCTAGAGGAGGGACGACACTTGGAGAGGACTACCTCCCACTTGAATCTACTGCAAATATTTGACTTAACTTACTTAGAATAGCCTGGTGTTACATAATTGTTACTGTGTGGTACCGCAATCATTAGTCAACGGGTTCTGGCTGGTGCAACGACTCCCTGTGATGGGGAATTTGCAGGACACTGGATTCCCCAGGCTGGCGCTACCACCACCTACCCTGGGCTAGGAGTTGCTGTGGGGAAAGCTAGAGTTGGCAACCACCTGCTTCTGGGCCTCCAGAGATGCACGATGCCTGGCTTATTTTCCACCCGGATGTTCTCTTTTAGACATGGTTATCTTAAACAAGACAACTAAAACAGTATGTGAAGCTGTTGTCAGGGTAACCTGACAAAGGATTTTACCCTTGGCTACTGGATATGCAATTTGTCAAAGGCAGCTGGCTCTCAGCGAGAGGAAAGCAGAGGGAATAGGTTGCTACTCTTGGGCCTTAAGGGGAAGTTGGAAGACTCTCTTCCGTTGAAAGCCACCAGGTAGAACCAGAAAGCAGTTCTGACCTGTGCAATGAAAATTCAGGAAAGG